TCTCTAAAAAAAAGTATTATTTGGGATTCAAACTCTGATGTTATGATTTTTTTTTAGTCTAGTTTTCAACACAAAAGATTTCAAGAAAAAATTCTTTTAGGATTGAGAGAAACAAATTTTTTATTGAGATGTGCTCAACCTGATTTTCAACTGAAAAGATTGCATTGTGACGTAAATATCACTAAAATGAATATTCACTAAATGGTATGATTTAGGGATGGAACTGAGCACTATTTTATATTCTTTTGAGTCTATTTCAATACTCAAAAGGATTCAAAGATTAAATATTTATGAGTTGAGAGATATCATATTTTTATCATAGGATGCTCAAGTTCTATTCTGCAGTAAATTAAAAAGATGTGGCATGTTAAGCCACATATTTGGATTCCTAATTATGAAGACGTTTTTTTTTTTGGCTCATTTAAAAAGGTTTTATAGTGTGCTATGAGTATGGTTTATTATAATAAAACTTCAGAGAGAGGTAATACATAGTTGACAATATATGAAACTCTATGTGAAGAGTATTCGATCTGAAAATAGCAGAAAGAAGAATAAACACAATACCTACAAAAACATCTTGGTTTCTTTGAAATGAAGGGATATATATAGATACTTGGTGGTAGCATATAAACGCTAAAGATCAGTGAGAGAATCGAAATTATGATATTTGAAATAATGAGATGAAGAAGATATTTTCTTCACGGTGTAAGGCAGGAGAATCCAAGTGTCGAAGAGATGGATACTTCGTGATATGTGAAACCAATGACCAATATATTATCCATCAGTTGCATGCACTTTAAAGATCACAAAAGCTTGCCAAACAAATAAAAGCGATGAATCAAGAAAGCCCAGGTACCATACTACATGGTTTTGAGGTATGCAATCTATTTCACATTATATGGTAATGTCATCTAGGGAAATATCATATAAGGAAAGAGGATTCAATAACTTTGTTTAATGTGCTTTGGTCATATTTTGGCTAATTGTTTTATGAATATGTATGGAGTGTATGGACATTAAGTGATAAGTGCTAACAAATTTGAAAGTGCCGATTTTGAATACCTTGTGTTTTTGTGCCTCCTGGTACTTGATTATGAACTACTTAAGGTAGTGATACACATGAATATGTGATTTGATCAAGGGCTTTGAGCCCCAAGGATAAAACACGAGAGATGGGTGTGGCTCATTCAAATATGTAAGCAGAAAGGGAGTATTCTGATGAAACTTGGTCTTGATGACCATCCTCTCAATAATGTTTATAATATGATGTGTTGCACGTGATGATGATCTCTTGACAAATTCTTCATAATTGCCAAAAAAGAAGTATTTTGTCAAGGCTTTAATAAATATTATTTAGTCGTGCTTTATTTTGGATAAAATTATAAAATGGTATATATGACTTGTTTTTATGGCCATGAACTTGACTTAGTAGGAAATTAAAGGTGAATACGGTAAAATGATTTATAAAGGCTAAGCATGTATTTTATAATTAAATTGGATGATTTGAGAAAAGCTTAAGTCTATGAATATAGTTTTGAGAAAACCACATAATCTTGCAAGGCTCATTAAGTTTTTATGAAAATCATTTTAAACTGTCATACTATTATATAACTATTGCTTGTGAATGCATATATATATATATATATATATATATATACATTTTTTTTTATTAAAAAGAAAAACATTATGTCTTGAATGTATTTATAAAAGTGGGAGAAAAATTATCATGCACTGTTTTTTAAAATACCTATATGCCTTGACCCATGTTTTTAGTTATTTAGAATCTTCAATTACGTAAGACTTTGAACCATAGGGAATGTTGTAGGAATGTCATCATGCTAGGCTTCTCTGATATATATTGTGTTGATTAGATAACTTGGTTTGTATGAATTTACTATCAAGATGTCTAGTATGGTTGAACCTTTGTGGTTCATGAAGGTTTTTGCATATTGTGAAACCAACGGGTATTGAATTACATATTTACATGGGACTTGATATGCTACCTTATGTTATATGCATAAGAATGTTGAGAATGTATATGTTGTATGTGCAATAATTGAGTGGGAGCTGCTACAGTCCTACGTTTTTTTTATCCACCATGAAGGCAGAATACGTGGCGTGTTATTTGCTGATCGAGGAGGTTGTATGGATTAAAAAATTTCTTAATTGACTTGACTTTCACGTCGTGCGTTGTGAGGCAGTAAGAATTTTTTGTGACAGCTCGATGACGATATGCGTGTCAAAGGAGCTACGATTCCATAAGAACTCTAAGCATATAAAACCATGTTTTTATCACCTGAGGAATGATGTGAGATTGAAAAAGATCGAGATCCAGATAAACTAAATATTCCAGTAGGAGCACCTACTAGTATTTGACATGCTAAATGAAACAACATACTATAATGTTGTTCACCCATAGAACCCAAATGTTTGGTGCAAGTTGTATGGCTACAAAATGGAGCATTTTATTTGAAGAACTCTTTTGAGCCCATGAACATACGACCCTTGATGAGTTCATTAGAAAACCGATGAGGGTTTATGGGTTAGCCCTTGATGAAGTCGGAGAACGTGTCCGGATGAGTTAGCTAAGGGACTGTGTGACCCTTGTGTGTGATGGTGGCCTACAGAGACAGGGGTCAAAACCTCATCCATGTACCATCACACGACATGCATATCGATAGATCATTAGGAAAAGTCAGAAATCTACCTTTTAGGGTGAAGCGTACGCATGTGCGTGAGATACCCCTATGCGCCATAGAACTGTAGTCGCATAAGGCCTTGGTGACTTTGATTTGTCTCTAGGGGATGACCTGAAATCCACAGACTGGGATTGCGATCATTTGGCTCATTGGCCGAATTTTGGTGACCCGTTAATGAGTCATTGCTTGGACTGTGGGTCATGGAAAACACTGGGTCGGTCTGATAAAGCAAGTGTGGTCTGTAGTCCACAGTTGAAGGTGGAGTGTCCCGTATGGATCCTTTTCCTATCAAATTAATTTAATTGTCTTTGTTTTATGATGAAAATTATTTTAAGATTATTATTTGAATTTTTATGAACCCTTGGATATTTTATTTATAATTTTTGGATTTATAAAATTAAAAATATTGATTTTATAATTGTTTAAATATTCAAATAATATTCTAAAACCCTTTTATTAATTTTAAATATATAAAAATATCATGCACATAGGCCCGCCATATTTTTAGAAGGTGGGGCCCATGAGTGCCTCCCTTGGGTGGCACGCCCCACCCTTATTCTCGTTCCTATTTTTTGGTGATATGACATGTGGCCATATGGTTGGAAGATATTGACTTGATATATCTTTGAAAGATTTTATGGAAAGATTGAGTAGACTTGTGCTATTTTATGGTATGGACAATATTTTGATTAGATTTAATTTATTTAATTTTTATTGATGAGAAAATGGTTTAAGAAAGGGGGATAATGGTTCATGCACAATCCATAATGTTGATGGCTCATCTATGGAATAGATGACTCAGATCTCTCACCCCATAAATCACTATTGATCGACGGTCTATGTTCAATCTCACCAGAAGAGACAAGCCAAAGAAAACCCTAATCTTATTCAAAGCATATAAAAAGGGATTGTCTGTACCAAAAATCTCTACACCTTATCTTTCTATCTCTGTCTTAAAAAAGTTTATCTCTCTTATGTGTGATTTCTCTCTCCCACATTGTGAAAAAACTTAAGGGGTTAGGTTATGGAGTTCTTCTCTCTCATATATCTCAAATATGGATTTATGGCTAAGGATTTTAGGGTTTAGCAAAAAGAGAATTCATCTCTCTCAAACTAGGTTGTTAAGAGAATTCACCTAGGGTTTGAGTTTGTGATCAAATGGTTCATGTTCCAATTGTGTGGTTTGATGAAAATTTGCTTTCTCGATTTGAGATTGAAGCTAGACCATTGATCCCACTCCATCGGATGGTGGTGATTCGGTGTGGGGTGTAATAAGCCCGGTTGAGATAATCTCCGGCACTATTCCTTTTGGTTTCTTGCAATCTTATCTTTTATTCTCAAGTATAGTACAGAGTTGTTTCAATGACATCACATTGTTAAGATCTTGATTTTATTGTTATGTTGATTTTATTTTGAAATTTATCTTATTATAATAGATACTACATGTATTTGATCTTTTACCAAAAGAAAGGGGTGAAGAAAAATAAAAATAAAAATGTATTCCTCGGTAAAAGATGACATAGGTCTTTCTTTCAGTGACCACCCCTAGGTTTTCCCTTTTAGTACCTAAAGTTGGTGGTAATAGCAAAAATATAAAGTGAAAAACACAATTACAGGTATAAAACAACCACAAGAAAATTGTTTCATGCGGGCTAGACCGCATTTTTACACTATACGGTCCCATTGTATAAAGCATCCACCTTAAAGATGGATACAAATAGATGGTCCACCTAAAACCAGTTGAAACTTACGGTTCAAATATTTTTTTAATATAATTAATTTCTAAAATTTATTTATTTATTTATTTTCATGATCTCATGAAAGAGATTACATGTACTTACAAATTTAAATGAAAAAGTTTATATAGAGCTAAGGCTCTGAACAATCAAATTTGAGCCTACCTAAAAAATCTCCCTAGAAGAGATTGTTTTGATGTCCAAATATCTTCAAATTGATCATCTCGACATCAAGATGCATGGACATGAAAATAAAATGGATTTCAAGTTTTGAAAGTAGTGTATTTTGTAACGTATTTTTGGACTATCAATTTTCAAGTTTTTCAAGTTTTCATACATTTGTTGATCTACACTATTTTTTAAGCTTTAAACTTTATAAATAAAGATGAAAATATGGTTTAAGGCTATCACAAAGATTTTCAATATTGAAACCACATTCCTCGATACTATTTGAAGGTAGGTTTTAATTTGGTTGTTTACGAGCCTAAGCTCTACACAAACGGCGCCCAAAATTAAATCCAAAAATCCACCACAAAAATATATTTTTAAGGAGGTGACTCATTTCTACAAGGACGCGTACAAACGTGTCCGTAAGCAATGCTGACAACGAACCCTAACAGCAATAGATCTTCACCCTAAAACCGGTATGTCCATGAACCAGTCCAAATGCCAATGCACTAGGGTTTTAGAGTACACACTAGGGTTTTAGGGAGAGATATACCCTAGGGTTTCGAAAGAGAGAAGATCACCATGGCTTCCGATACACCCGAACCTCTGGTTCAATTGGCTGATATCAGTGGAAGAGGCAGAGCTCTTATAGCTTCTAAGGCCATATTCGCAGGCCAGATCCTTCTCCAAGATACCCCAATTCTCCTCTATCCAGCTGCTCCACACAAGAACCTTAGTTCCTCTTTTTGTTCCCATTGTTTCAGAAGCCTTCCAATCCCAAACCCTAATTCTGCAACTCTGTGTTGCCCTTCTTGCTCAAACTTTGCTCTTTTTTGTAGCCCTGAGTGCCACTCTATTGCCTTGGCTTCTTCCCATTCTCAATGGGTTTGTAAGGCTTTAGGGCTGTTGAGGTCTTCTAATCCTAGCTCTGAGCTCCAAACTCAGGCCAATTTTTTGCTGGGTGCTTACAATTTGGCTGAGATTTCTCCTGATGATTTTAACATGCTGCTTTCTCTTCAAGGAGAGGGGACTTTAGATGGAGAGACCCAAATGCTCCACTCTTTTATATCAGCTGTAATGGCTGAGTTCCCTCTGAAAAGTTTCTCTCGTTTTTCGGTGGAGTTAACCGCGGCTTTATTGGCAAGGGATAAGAGAAATGCTTTTGGGTTGATGGAAAATTCAAAGGAATGTGGAGAAAGGATGGTTAGGGCCTATGGGATTTACCCAAGAGCTTCGTTTTTCAACCATGACTGTCTTCCCAATGCTTGCAGGTATTTTCATGGAGTTCCTAATACAAAGTACATTGTCCTTTTCTTTTTTTTGATGGAAATTGTGTCTCTGATTATGAAAATGGTGCTTTTGATAAGAAACCAATGGGATTTTAAGGATTTAAAATCACGGGAAATGGTGCTTTTGATAAAAAACCAATGGGATTTTAAGGATTTAAAATCGTGGGTTTTAAGGTGGTTTGGGGTGGGTTCTGCACAAAAAATGATGGGTTTTTCAACAATGACTGATTTCTAAAATTTTATAGGCATTTTTCACACTCATTGATTCAGAATAGTCTATTTTTCTATGTTTTTTCAATAATGACTGATTTTTAAACTTTTATAGGTATTTTCCACACTCCCTGATTTAGAGCAGTCCTTTTTTTCCCAGAGAACTGTATTTTTGCCTGAAACAATGGGATTTTATGATGATTTCGTGTTTTTTGTTGAATGGAATTGGGTCTGAAACAAATTTTAAGATTTTTTTTGACATTGATAATTTTGGTCATTATATGGGATTGTTTTATCATAATTTATTTGTTCTTCAAAATACATATTGGGTTTGTCATAAAGAAATAAGGGATTCTTAACCGGTGATCTTCTCATAAGAATTTAATGCAATCTCTAAAGAGCAAGTTTTCTACGCTTCCCCTAGAGCATAAAACTTAGGGAAAATTATAAAAACCCCCCTAAAGTATTTTTTTTATGCAACTTACCTTCAGCTAACTTTTGCTCTCAACTTTTTTCAAAAAATAAATTATTATGCAAATACCCCTTTCCCCCCAAGAGAAAAAGTTCATTTTTCTAAATGAAAATGCCCTTCCTGTAGCACACTACAGGAGCGCACTTAAACAGTGTCGAAGCCCTGTGACTCAGAATGCTCCACTGTCGGAGCGCACATATGCAATGTCGGAGTGTTGTGTTACGTTGTCGGAGCGCATTTATGCAGTGCCGAAGCGCACTTAGACAGTGTCGGAGCCTTGTGACTCAGAATGCTCCACTGTCGGAGCGCACTTATGTAGTATCGGATTGTTGTGTTACACTGCTGGAGTGCATTTATACACTGCTAAAGAGCGGCGTTACATTGCCGAACTGCTCTTACATAGTGCCGGAGCCGGCACTTATGCACTACCGAAGAGCGGTGTTACGTTGCTGGACCGCTCTTACACAATGCCGGAGCCCCTGTGACGGTTTCGACACTGTTTAATGGCGCTCCGACAACATGCTATGAGAAGGGTATTTTCGTTTAGAAAAATGAACTTTTTCCTTTGGCGGGTATTTGCATAAAAAGTTTGTTTTTTGAAAAAAGTTGAGAGCAAAAGTTAGTTGGGAGTAAGTTGCATAAAAATTAGAATTTGGGGGTTTTTTTATAATTTTCCCTAAAACTTATATACTTCCCCCTATCCAACAATCTATTCTGAATGGAGGGCTAAGATTGGCCCAATCACAATGTCATGTCTCTGTACTATTTTATTTTTAATTTTTTTTTCTATAAACTATTTTGATATCAAATTTTGGACGTCCAATCCTCTATTAAACTCGCACTAGCAAAAAATGTAAAAAAATATTTCCAATAAAATAAAATGGCTTTTATGGGTTTTTTTATCAGTATATTTTATCAAAAAATTATTTTTAATATTTTTTATAGGTGCATCCCAATGAGAAGATGGCACATACTAAATTTCATATTCATACAATTTGTATAAAAAAAACTAAAAATAAAATACTTTTATACGTCATATGTAATATCAAACGATGGGTGGCTCTCTTGATCAAAATTGGTCGGCTGGATGGTAGGAGAAGCATAGATCTCTGTAGGGGAAGTATATAAACCTTTCCCATCTCTAAATAAGCATTTGGCTTCTTTGTTTGATTTCTTAAAAATAGACGTCGTCTCTTTCCATCAAATTTCCATTGGGTGTTGTTGCTCTTGTCATAGCTCGCAAGTTTGTTCGATCATAGTTGAGTCAGTTTTCAATTTATTTTTGTTTATTTTTTTTTTTATTATTTCTTTTCTTCTTCTAATAGTGGGTTTTTGTAATATTGAGATGATAGTCAACTAGACTATGTAAATCAATTCTAGGCCTTCTTGTCAATATTTAAAATTTTTTTGAATAAGAGTGTCACATTTCATTACAATTGATATTTTCAAAGCAAATGATTCAACAAAAAAATATATTTCGAAACAAATGACAGTTTGTTCATTAGAATAGAACGGATTTTTACTCCCGGTGTTGTAGGTTCGACTACATTGATAAACCAGGAGATGGGAATAATGATATTATCATCAGAGCTCTGCATGATATTGCAGAGGGGAAAGAGATTTGCTTAAGTTACTTCCCTGTGAACTGGAAATTTGCAGACAGGCAAAAGAGGCTTCTTGAGGATTATGGGTTTGTATGCGAGTGTGATCGTTGCATAGTTGAGAAGACTTGGAGGGAGGATGATGAAGAAGAAGATGAAAAAATGGCTTTAGAGAATGAAGAAGAAGAGCAAGAGTTTCCTCATGCTTACTTCTTCGTGAGGTACTTGTGCCCCAATGAAGAGTGTGGGGGAACCGTGGCTCCTCTACCCCCTTCACAAGGAACACCATCCAATATAATGGAATGTAATGTTTGTGGGCAATTGAGAACAGAGGAAGAATTCAATAGAGATGAAGATGAAGATGACATGGTGGATGATTGATTAGCTTAGCTGAGTAAAGATCAATAGCTTTCTCTTTCATCCCACCGCTTAAGCCATGTATTGATGTTCTTTTGTAAAAAAGAGTTTAAGTTTTATTATGGGTATTGTTGGATATGAGGATTTGACCCTAGCTTTTGAAGGTTTGCAAAATTTTGAGGTTTATGGAGCTCTTGAAAGAGATCTGGACTTTCAACTTAATCTCTAATCTATTTTAGATTTGTGATATACTTGTCTTAAAATGATTGATGTAATCACAATCATAAATTTAAATAGAGTTTTTATATTTCCTTTTATATTGTGTAAACTCTCACTCTCTCTCTCTCAAACTCATGCACACACACACGTAAGTGCACACAATTTAAACACAATTGAATTCTTTCTTCTTCTTTTTTTGGCAACATCAACACATACTTGAATTCAATGATATTCAAACAATAAATTATAATTTACAAAGGTGACAGTTACAGAGATAAAAACCAATTACTTTATGGGGCGGGCTCTCCTCACTAAAAAAAAAGGGCTCTCCTCACTAAAAAAAACAATAGGTTTAAAGAGATCACATGAACGATGAGGAGGAGAAAATTTGACACATATTAGTCAAAAAGAAAAAGAAATATGATATTAATGAATATAGTTAGAAAGAATGACGAGCCCTTATTCTCTGAATTTGTAGAGTTGATCCAACATGCCCTTAAATTTTGATTGCAGAAGATGCACCTGGCAATATGCAGAGTTTGCCATTCCCATGTTAAATACAGTTTCCGCTCCCATGTTAAAAGACACTTCCAACAATCATCTTTCATCTACCATAGCATCATCTTTCCTACTCTCTGCATTGCCCCAGATCTCCTCTATTTCCCAACTATCGGCCTACCACTGGTTTTGCTCTTGAGAACTGATTCTTTCCGTACATTGCCTTGCTTATCCTCATTACTCAAAACTGTCAATTAGTAACTGGTTTTGCTCATTGGCCAATTCTCTCTCAACATTTCCTGGGTTCTCCTCTGCACCCAAACACACCATAATTGCCTGGTTTTCCTCTCTGCCCATTTCTCTCTCTACATTGCCTTTGATAATTGGCTGGTTTTCCTCCCTGCCCATTTCTCTCTCTACATTGCCTGAGTTGTCTTTTGTACCTGAACTCCCAACCACTGAATGACTTTGATCCTCAACTGATTCTCTCTCTACATTGCCTGGGTTCTCGTCTGTAGCTGAACTCTCTGTCACCGATGGGTCTGGTTCTTTTGCCAATTCTAACTTCATATCCTCTCCCTTCTCTGCTCCACCTAGTGAATCCCCAAATCCATTGCTGCTACCACCATTAGATTCAGTTCGAGACGGGCCTGCATCCGCATTTCCCGTCCCACTGGGCTTCTTTTTGGGTCCATTAATGTCAGCAATGATCTTATCAAGTAAACTGGGCCCAACATGAATGACATTCTTTGATCTGGCTGCTCTTAGAAGAGAGGCAGCAGTTTCAGCTGGGGCTATCCGGGCCCCTGCAGCCAAAGCTGCTGCTCTTATACTTGAGGGCTTCACTTGGGCCTGAGTTGGGCTTGGGTTGACTTTGATTAAGGCCGGGTTTGCCGGGTATATTGCTTGTTGGGGTTGGTTTGGTGCTTGGGCCGCTGGTGCGGTGGAGAAGAAGACTGGCATGACGCTCAAACCAGTTGCTAAAGATACAATAAGAATAGTGAGAAAACAAGCGATGTGTCATATATACAAAACCCCAATTCGGCTTACAAGACAAATGTATTCGAGTACTTCATGTGTCCAAAAAAATAATACAGTAAATAAGATAAGTCATTATTCAACATCTTGGAGAATAAAACAACAGGTTCATAATCATTGAAATTTTATATGTTCTATAGAACTATAACTTCAAAAAGAAAGGAAGCTGGGGTAAAGAAGTTACTCTGATCATATAAGATGTATGTGGTAGGAGTCTGTTGAGGATTCCCACAAGGCCCACCCTGAAAGCAGACAAATGCTAAATATCAGCTTCGAAAAAGTTGTTAGGTAACTCTGGATCATCAAATTATAGTCATTCAAACCCATAATCTGTTAGTTCTCTTGGGCTTCAAAAAAATATCCATAATATATAAGTTCTAGAGCAATTTCCTTTAGATTGAGGGTCAGTATAACAACGGAAAGACAACTCGAGCCTTGGTACTAAAAATAGAAAACAATGTTACACATACTGCAAATTCAGTCCATAAAAGGAACCTAAGGGTGCTTAGTAAGCTTCAAACCTGAAAACTCTTCCGAAGCGGTTAAACTCACCCTGCCAATCACACTGTTCTATATTGCTAATTTGAAATTAAGGTATCCAAAATTCTACCCATTTTTAAGAAAACAAGAAACAAAGGAATGAGAGTGTGTCTCGACCAGCAATACAGAAAACACTCTTTGATTGGCAATAAGCATGTCAAACCAGCACATCTACACATAAAAAAAGAATAAGCAAATACAAGAACCAAGTACTCAACTTTGATGAGTGCAAATACACATAGTAACTCTGCATTCGATTCAAGCAAAGACCCAAGTTTTATCATAACAGAAACCACGCATTCCTGATTCGAATTTCTATATTTCAAAATTATTTATTTTTTTAAAATGCGTGTGTGAAGCAATATATTATCCTTAAAAATAAAATGATTGATTTCTGTCCAGTTTAATAAGCATAAATAATTCCAGGAATCAGATTCTTTATCGACTACAATAACAATTCATATTGTCAAACAAATAGGTTTACTAGAACACACTTTTTCAATTGTATTGCTCGGTTGACTCCCATGGCATGTCTCAGCTTCCTGAACACCACTAACTGGGGAACCAAGCTGTGTAACTCCCTCAACTTTTTTCTTCACAGCAAGGATCTCCTGTAAAGCCTTTTGTAGAGCACGCACCGAGACATTGTAGACCTCTTCATTTGTCGCCCCTTCTGCTGCATATTTGATGGCATGTTGATATAGATTACTATATCGCAATGCTTGTGATTCTTGACAATCACGTTGCATTTTGACATCGTGTTCATCGACAACAAGTGCACTAGTAGCATATCTTGTCCACCGTGTTAAGATGTAATGAGAAGGGAGCAACATGACATCTTCCTTGATAAATACCTTTAGAACATGCCTACAAAGAATGCCTGCATACTCGAACATTCTACAGCTACAACTTGCTTTCGCTTCTGAAACATTCAATGTAACAGTGTACGCAATCTGCTCTGCCCCAAAGGCCACTACCCTAAAAGTGTTTGTAGGTCCATCCTTTCCAATTTTCTTGGCGACATAGGAAAGGCTTCTAAATAGCTCCTCTTGAAATAGCATGAATATGGTTCTTGTATAAGCTGTTGCTGCTTGACTTTCCATAGGCAGGCTAGTCTTCAAAATTGGTTTCGTGTAGAGTGTTTTGAAATCTTCTTCATGTTCCAATTCATATCTATTGTCCAGGGTTTTCTCCCACAGCTCAACAAATGCTTCTAGGCTAGTATCACCGCTCAGGTACCCATCCAAAAGCGTGCTTATGCTTTCAGTTTTTTGGGGAATAACCACATGTGCAAAGAATGTGTCATGCAGGTGTACTTGGACCCACTGCTCACGACATTTATACAAGGACTGAAGCCACTCATTGTCCCTGAGGTCATATTTATCAATAAGGGACCACCAACTTGATTCAAACTCATCATTCAACTCAGTCAGGTTAATACATTTAGCAAAATCCCCCTTGAAATTTGGGTTCCTCCCCTCTAAATGACCTAACTTCTCCGGGTATTGTATTAAGATGTGCCACTTGCAAAAATAGTGGCGGGTTTCCGGAAATACCTTTATAATAGCTGCTCCTATGGCTGCATCTTGGTCACTGATTATTAAGACCGGAGGGCGTCCATACATCATCTCAAGCAAAGTATTAAAGAGCCAAGTAAACGAAGACTCTGTCTCATCTTGCAATAATGCACAACCAAAAAAGACAGGTTGTTTATGATGGTTTACCCCAACAAATGGAGTAAATGGTATCCCATAACGGTTTGTCCTGTAAGTTGTGTCAAATGTAACTACATCACCAAAGTACCGATAGGCCATCTTTGACTTGGCATCAGCCCAAAAGAAATTCTTCATACGAAATTCCTCATCAACTTGGATTGCATAAACAAATGAAGGATCCCTTGCTTGCATGTATCTGAAGTATTCTAATAAACGTTGAGCAGTGTCTTTTCCAATTTCCTTCCTTGGGAGGCCAACATCGTATGATTCACTAGATTGTGCACTAGATGCAGAGACCATTCTTGCCGGTCTTATTCGCGCTTTATCAAGTGTGTGGATTAGATTTCTCGTTGTATTACTGACTCGCCTACGTGGTCGATGGAAAGGTATTGGAGCTAACAATTCATGATTATGGTCGCTTACAAATATCGAAACAACCCATTTCCCAGAGTCTCTTCTTATCAAGTTAATCATGGCGTTACATCCTTCTCTTGTGGCTGGTCGTGGCCTCTTACTGGAGAGGTATTTTTTAGCACGAAAACCTTGTTTGTTACATACAAATCTTTGGGCAGTGATTTCTCCACTACGCTTTGAACGACGGCTAGTGCCAACACGAACTCCGAAACCCAAACGCATTGCATATGCCTTATAGAAAGTCTCTGCTGCCTCAACCGATTCGAACTCCATACCAACATAAGGATCAATATCTCCCACAGAATGTCCAACCATTTCATTGATCTCTTCTAAACTTGTTCCCAAGTTGGTTTCAGAGTCCAAATCTGTGTGTTCTTGATTTCGCTCTTCATCTGAAGTAGATGAGCACCCCTACAGAAGTAAAACCATCACGTTATGCCATGGATTTTTTCCTTTTTGATGAAAGAAAGATAATAAATGCAACGGGAAGGAATGACATCCATAACCAATACATTCCAAAAAGAAGTAAATAAAGGAACAAGGTTTCCATCACTATAACCAGAAGGGTGAGGATGAACAAAAAATATGATAACAATTGATCAAACAGTATCCATTTAATTCATAGCATATTTAGAAGGGAACATACAAGTTAAAGATCTTAATGTTTCCAAAATAATTGCAACAGGCTTAGGGGGAAGGGACGTAGGCAAGGGGTGATAGCAAAAGAGAATAATTACAAAGATGAACCTAACAATTATTTTGGTTTAGAACAAAAGATAAATCTAAACTTTGGAAAAAGGAAGAGTGGCCTTCCTTTTTTCCTATAAGCATTCTTCTGATATACCTGGTCCTCTAAACATTCGTCACTGACCCTTTCCTCGTGGAACTGATGATCCATATTTTCCTCCAAAACCTTCATTCTGTAAAACTATGAACCTTATCAGCTCTGCATGTATTCTATCAACCACATATGTTCACCAATTTAATAAGAAGGAAAACAAACCTAGTCTTCAGTTCAGGGTTTTCTTCATCTTCTAAATTCTCGAGTCCATAAATGTCAGATGTTTCAAGGCTTGGTCCATTGACATTACCATCATTGGACCCAGTTACATTCATGTCATTGGTCTCACATTCCATCAGAAAATAATTCTCCACAAGAACCACCTATTGCGTACCATCGAATAAATAACGAGTATTAACCAACTTAAGAATCAATCATGCTCCAAACCAATAGAATCAAACTGCAGTAATTCAAAATGAAGAACCAAAACCAACCCAAATTCAAGAATCCTATAAATAATAAATAAAACAAAAAATTAAATATAACAAAAGAAAAGAAACGAAGTTTCTATCTAATGGTTAACAAAACACTCAGTTCTCTGGCATTTGTCCCCATGTAGAGTTTATTTTCGTGCTCATGACACAAAGGTTGATCTATTTCAGTAGGCCAAAAGCATAAAAAATCATCTTTTTTCTTTTTTGATCAACGCCTAGAGAGTTTCACTCGTGCTAACAAGAAGAAGAAGTAGAACCATGTTAAGTAGTTCAATAAATGAGCACAAAACCATCAAAGTTGCAGAAAAAACTGCATGGGTAAAAAGATAACCCATTTATTCCTCAAATAAAGAACATGTCGCCTTTTCCCTTTTTTCTAAAAAAATGGCAGGCAATAACAATTAAAAAAATGAAGAATTTATAATAATAAATTATACTCAGCATCCATCAGCTATCAAAGCATCATATGCATACCCAATTCACCAAAAAAAAGAAGTCATAATCCTTTAATCAAGAAGATCAAAACTATGAAATCGGCACAATTAAATTCATTTTCCCACAGAGTGAAAAATGCACAATAATCATACAGCATAATAAGTTTCAAGTTCACAGGAAGCACAGGAGAGAAACAGAATTTCTCCCCGATATAGTGAAAAAAAAAAAATGCAAGTCAAATTCAATGGGTGTCATGAAACTCATATCTCTAGGACACTATACAATGCATTCCCAGAGGGAAAAAACAAAAAAAACAAAACTTAGACAATAAAACAGAGAGAGAGACGGAGAGGGAGAGGGAGAGGGAGAGAGAGAGGTAAAACAATTCTCAACATACAAAGAGGGAAGAGTAATCGGGGCATAACAGAGAGAGTACCTGCGGCGTAGCAGAGAGGGAGAGGAGAGAGAGAGAGAGGTTAGGGCAAGATGGGAATGGACGATGGGGATCGAATTTCACGAAACCTAGGGCATGCGAAAGCGTTCTCATGCTCTCTCTAATCCGCCAAACAACTCTTGGATCCAAAAGTTTCAGAACCACTACAATGGACGATCCAGATCTGCTGTACATCAACACAAATGGACGGTCAATACTGCGTAGTGTACCATCTAAATTACACCTTTTGGGCCTTTGGAATTTCTTTTATTTTCATGGCGTGATCCTGCGGGAGTATAATATATACTGACTCCCTCAAGCAATAGACCTTTGAGGTGGAATTTTTTTATTTATTTTTCTTTGTTTTTCTCGAGGAAGTTAGTAAGTGGTTTGAGCACGTACTCATTCATTGCATTATGTAAATTTATTATCAAAGTGCACTTGATTTTACCCATTTAGTATGTTACCTATGTTTTGATTTATTTGTAAAATACCTATCAAAATATACACATTTTAAGTCACAATAGTAAAAAAAAAGGTATGGTTTATAATGAGACTATTTATCGTTTGTACATAAAGGTAATAATCACTTCCACTCATCAAATGTTAAATTGGATGACTTGGGTGAGTCACGAAATCCAAGAATATTTTTTTTGGAACTTCATGTCTATTCAATGACAATCTTACTATTACCCATTTTGAAATATAAGGAACAAAAATGATTGTGACCTCCAAATACAAAAGATAAAATACAAAAGATAAATGATCTCTTTAAAAAAATAAAAAGTGAATTTTATTTTGATAAATTTCTCTAATATTATTGCGAAAACCTTGAAGAAAATGTAATTACATTGGAATAGGTGATGAACTTCCAGTGCTCTCCGTGTATTCACCGCATTCACTCTGTACAATATGTGGGTATTAATTCCCATTTCCTTTAGATAATATTTTCATTTTCTATGGTTTGAATGATTTTCTATATTTTGAACTTTGGATAATGGATAATCTTTAGAATCAGTTAGTATCTTAAAAAATTAAAATAATTTAAAAATAAATGAATAAAAATGTGAGTACCTGAACACTAGGATCTATAAATGCACGATCCTGATAAATCCATGGTTTTTTTTTTATTTTGGCAGATATAGTACAAGTTAATTTTCTTATATTTTATTTCCTATTTAGGTTGGTTGCTAGATCGAGGAGGTTACACCTTAAAATTTTAAAATAGCTACGACGTGGGCGTAGGGAGTAAATGAATATCATACTCCTCCAAGCGTAAAAAATCTTTTGGTTATTGTTCTTGAGCACATATCACATCAACATAAGTTGCTGCTTAGATGGTAAGGCACGTCGACCAAGAAAATAATAAATATATAAATATATATTAATCAATTGATAAGGTAGATTTATATTTAAAATTCTATTTTCTTGATAAATTTATGGAAATTAAAATAACATTTGAAAAAAAATTTATATAAAGGTGAGACCCTAAACAATAAAATTAAGGTGAATCTGAATGTTTTGATTCCCAAAATCCTCATATTGATCATCTCGACTTCAAGATGTATGAACATGAGAAAAATTGGACTTCGAGTATTGAAAATAATGCATTTTATAATTTATTTTCTAGACCATCAATTTTCAAGATTATCAAGTATTCATAGATCTGCTCAATCTACACTAATTTTGAAGCTTTAAATTGTACAATTAGCGATAAAAATAAATTGTCAGACATCACAAAGATTTCTAGCCCTAAAATAACATCTTTTGATATTATTTCAAGGGGCGCCTACTTTGATTGTTATGGGCCTGAGCCTCATACAAACCCCACCCATATCATTTTGCATGAACACAAGTAGGTTTTTCTGAGCGGATTCACCAAAAACATGAATTAATGCTAACAATAATTAATACACACTATTACGATCGACATGTTCATTTTAACAACATGATCATATGTATATCACCATTCAACCATTTATTAAGATAAAATAAAACTTAATAGTATTTAAACTACAATAAGTTATGATATGTATGTTCAATATAACTATGTGATTATCACCATGCAATCAAATAGGCTAGACAAATGTGAATGATTATAGACCCACTCCCTCAAGGATCCAACATATTGTTGGACAATGATAACCTCTAGAAAATGTTATCATGACCATGTGGATGACATATATCATATATTATAGAGTTCTTCAAAAAATAGGCAATCAACTATTTAGCATTTTACTTATATCTTTTGATTTAATTTCAAAACACCCATCAAAATAATTATATATAACAATGAATTGGAATTCTTGTAAAGGGGTAAATTGTTGAATTGTTGAAAAATTAAGTGTATTTTGATAGATTTCCTTATATTATAAGGGATTCTATATAAGGAATGATACTATTTACCTTTTGTACAAGGTGGTCATAATTATTTACGACCATCCAACGAAATCTAATAGCTTGAGTAACCCACAAAAGTTCGAGAAATTTCTTTTAAAATTTGAGCTTAGTCAATGGAAGAAATACAACCACCCAATTTCACATAGTCAAAATTAATTGTAAGGACCTTATAC